GTTACGTAACATGTTAGAAGGCGATGAGTACTGTAGAAAAACAAACAAAAAAAAATGAGGTGAGTAGAGGTTTAGGGAATACAGGGGGTGCCTGGTATGTTTGAGAAATGGCAGAGAGGCCACTGTGGCTGGAGTGAGGCGCTATAAAGGAAGAGGGCACGGAGGTAATGAGAGGATCATGTAGGGACTTAAGGGACATTTAAAGGACTTTAGCTTTTACTCTGAGGGACATGAAGAGCCATTGGAGGGTGGTGAGCTGTGCAGTAACTGGATCTGACATCTTTTTTAAAGGACTCCTTTAGCTGCCATGTAAAAAACGAGCTGGAAAGAGTAAGAATGGAGACAGGAAGGCCAGTGAGGATGTGTATTAGGTTCCCATTGCTGCTGTAACAAAGTACCACAGACTTAGTGGCTTAAACCAACACACATTTATAGGATATAGGATATAGGATTTGCAAATATTTTCTCCCATTACATGAGTTGTCTTTTCATTTTCTTCTTCTTCTTCTTCTTCTTTTTTTTTTTTAAGACAGAGTCTCACTTTGTTGCCCAGGCTAGAGTGAGTGCCATGGCATCAGCCTAGCTCACAGCAACCTCAAACTCCTGGGCTCGAGTGATCCTTCTGCCTCAGCCTCCCGGGTAGCTGGGACTACAGGCATGCGCCACCATGCCCGGCTAATTTTTATATATATATATCAGTTGGCCAATTAATTTCTTTCTATTTATAGTAGAGACGGGGTCTCGCTCTTGCTCAGGCTGGTTTTGAACTCCTGACCTTGAGCAATCCGCCCGCCTCGGCCTCCCAAGAGCTAGGATTACAGGCGTGAGCCACAGCGCCTGGCCTACAATAGGTTTTTAATTTTCTTTTCTTGAGACTGAGTGTTGCTCTGTTACCCTGGCTAAAGTGCAGTGGTGTCATCACAGCTCACTGCAACCTCAAATTCCTGGGCTCCAGCCATCCTCCTGCCTCAGCCTCCCAAGTAGCTGGGACTATAGGCACACACCACCATGCCCAGCTAGTTTTTCTATTTTTAGTAGAGAAGAGGTCTTGCTCTTGCTCTGGCTGGTCTTAAGCTCCTGAGCTCAAGCAATCCTCCTGCCTTGGCCTCCCAGAATGCTAGGATGAGAGGTGTGAGCCACTGCATCCCACGTCTGGCTGATTTTTAATTTTGATAAGGTCCAAGGTCTCTATTTTTTTCTTTTATTGCTTGTGTTTTTAGTGTCATATTTAAGAAATCACAAAGATTTACACCTATTTTTCCTTCTAAGAATTTTATAGTTTTAGCTCTTACATTTAGATCTTTGATCCATTTTGAGTTAATTTTTGTATATGATATAAGGTAGGGATACATGTTCATTCTTTTGTGATTGAATATCTAGTTAACTCAGAACCATCTGTTGAAAAGACCATTCTTTCCCCATTGAATGGGCTTTGGCACCCTTGTTGAAAATCAATTGACCACAGATATTTAAGTTTATTTTTTGACTGTCAGTTCTATTCCATTGATCTACATGTCTATTCTTATGCCAGTTATCATACTTTTTTGATTGTTGTTGCTTTGTAATAGGTTTTGAAATAAGGAAGTGTGGATACTCCAACTTTATTTTTCTTTTTTAATTAGTCAGTTGCTTTGACTGTTCAGGGTCTCTTCAACTCCATCTGAATTTTAGGATCAAGTCTGTTTCTGAAAAAAAAAGCAGCTCTGATTTTAATAGGATTGCATTGAATCTGTGGATCAATTTGGAGAGCGTTGCTATCTTAATAATATTGTTTTCTAATCCATGAACATGGGATGTCTTTCCATTTCTTTAGGTCTTCCTTAATGTCTTTCAACAGTGTTTTATGCTTTTTGGAGTGCAAGCCTTTCATTTCCTTGGTTAAATTTATTTCTAAATATTTTATTATTTTTGATGCTATTATAAATGAAAATGTTTTCTTAATATCATTTCAGGTTGTTCATTGCTAACGTATAGAAATACAACTGATTTTTGTGTGTTGATCTTGTATCCTACAACTTTGCTGAATTTTTTTTAGCTCTATTAGCTTTTTTGTGTATTCCTTTAGGGTTTTCTATATATCAGATCATGTCATCTGCGAATAGAAATAGTTTTACCTCTTCTTTTCCAATATGTATGCCTCAGTGCATGGGTGGTTCAGTGGTAGAATTCTCGCCTGCCAATATGTATGCCTTTTATTTATTTTTCTTGCCTAATTGCACTGGCAAGAACTTTCAGTACAATGTTGAATAGAGAGTAGGCATCCTTGTCTTATTCCTGATCTTAGGGTGAAAGCTGTCAGTCTTTCACCACTAAGTGGGATGTTATCTGTGGGTTTTTCATAGCTGCCTTTTATTAGGTCAAGCAGTTCTCTCCTATTGCTAGTTCATTGAGCATTTTTTTTTAATCAGGAGAGGACATTGGATATACTCAAATTGATTTTTACAACTAAAAATCAGCAGCAAAGTCCTCTGTATTAACTTGGTATAATTATGTGAGAGCAAGTTTCATAATATTTAAGATCTTATTAATTCAATTAAAAAAATTTTTTTTTGGAGACAGAGTCTCACTCTGTCACCAGGGCTAGAGTGCCATGCTGTGTGTCAGCCTAGCTCACAGCAACCTCAAACTCCTGGCCTCAAGCAATCCTCCTGCCTCAGCCTCCCAAAGTGCTGGGATTATAGGCATGAGCCACCACATTCAGCAGTTCTTTAAAACCTAGCAAAGGCTAACAACATTGGCACTGGACTTTAACAGCAAAGGTTCGAAACCTGCCTTTACTACTTACCTGGGCAAGTTACTTCCCCTACTCTGTGTGTCTCCCTTTCTGCAGCTGTAAACTGGAGATGATGATAACAGATCCACCTCAAGGCTTATGTGAGAAATGGAATGTAAAGCTTACTTAGCATAGACCTGGCACACAGCAGATGCTCAGAAATATGTATTTTATTCTGAAGTATTCTGGATCATCATTATGGGCAATAACAATTGAACCAGGGGGAGACCCAGAACTTTCAAAAGTAGAGGTATTAAGGAAGTGCTAAAGAAAAGAAGAAGTAGAAAACAGCCCCAGCTAGTTGTGGAACCACACTTTACTGTTTTCCCTTGTCTTTGCTGTCAAGAATCACTTCCCCATCCATTAGCAGTGAGGCTGCATCTAGTAGCCAATACTTCTCCAACCCACTATTTTAATTTGCTGCTTCCAGACTTTGTGTTTGTTAGTCTTCTATGAAAACAAAGCCAATTCTCAATGAAGAAAAATATGGCTTCTCAAAGGTCTTTTTTATTCCTTCCTGGATCTTTCAAATATGTGAAGTTGTTTTGGAACAGAGTTTCACATAAATGAGAGCTTAGCTGGACTTTTCCTCTATTATTTCACATATATGAATCTTGTTTCCTTCCTCAGAGTATGATCTATGTGTGACAAAAACTATGCCTTGGATGTTGTTGTTTTAATCTGCCACAATCCCTGCCTGCACATACAGGTAGCCATTCCCAGAGGTGGTAGAGTTCATCCCACTCAACCCATAGGTTGGAAGAAATTTTTCGAATGTGAGAGATGCTAAAACTGACAAGAATTCAAAGCATCATGAATTGTGAAACATAAGTCACACTTGTATTTGTTCTGTATTGGGACGTTGTGATATTTTTATCAAAGTAAAAAATAAAAACAAGGAGGCTTCAATCAAGCCACCTCATGGGTACAACAACTCTTCCACATCTATGCAGTCTGCCCCCTCACCTCTTATCTAAATCATGCTGCTCCCAGGCACACAAAGTAGCAAAACACATGCTGAGTTTGAGCCATTACCCAAAGAATATATGAACTTCACAGATGCTGTAGACCTTACCACCATCATCTCATATTGCTGTGGGATAAACTGAGGATGATAACAGAGCCCCTCATATTATAACTCTGGGAGCACAGGAAAACAATAATAGCAGAAAACTCTGACTTAATCTTAAGTATCAACCTTAAGCAATTGGCTTTGGCCACTTGGACTGCTGGGTTGAGAAGAATTTTGAGGCTGCATCAGGATTCCTTGTAAAAAAAAAAAAGTGGGATAGGGCTGGGCACAGTGGCTCATGCTTGTAATCCTAGCACTTTGAAAGTGCTCCACTTTGAGGTGGGAGGATCGCTTGAGGTTAGCGGTTCAAGACCAGCCTAAGCAAGAGTGAGACCTTGTTTCTACTATAAAAAAAAAAAAAGAAAAGAAAAGAAAGAAAGAAAGAAAGAAAGAAAGAAAGAAAGAAAGAAAGAAAGAAAGAAAGAAAGAAAGAACAAGAAAAGAAAAAATTAGCCAGGCAACTAAAAATAGAAAAAATTAGCCTGGTATGGTGGCACATGCTTATAGTCTTAGCTACTCAGGGGTCTGAGGTAGGAGAATCGCTTGAGCCCAGGCTACATTGAGCTATGATCACACCACTGCACTTCAGCCTGGGTGACAGAGCAAAAACCTGTCTCAAAAACAACAACAAAGAGCCTATTAGGTGAATAAAGAGTAGAAAGGCATTCCAGGTAGAGGGAACAGCATTTGCAAAGAGGGCTAGAAAGTTAATCTAGTCAGTCACTCAATTTCTCTGAGTCTTGGTTTACTCACTTATAAAATAGAAACAGTATTATCTGTCATAGGCTGCTTATGAGAAATTAAATGTGATAGTACATGTAAAGCATTTTGCACATTGCCTGGATCATAGACTGTGTGCCGATGTTAATTATTATTTTCTTTAATAGAGTAGCCCCCCTTTATCTTTAGGGGTTATGTTCCAAGACTCCAAGTGGATACCTGAAAACATGGATAGTACTGAACTTGGTATATACTGTATTTTTTCATATATATATATAAACACACACCTACGATAAAGTTTAGTTTATAAATTAGGCACAGTAACAGATTAATAATAACCAATAATAAAATAGAACAATTATAACAATATGCTGCAATATGTTTTGTGAATGTGGTCTCTGTCTCTCTCTAAATACCTTACTGTACTATACTCACTCTTCTTCTTGTGATGATGTGAGATGATAAAATGCCTATGTGATGAGATGAAGTGAGGTGAATGACATAGGCATTGTGATGTAGCATTAGGCTGTTACCAACCTTCTATTGATACCTCAGAAGGAGGCTTATCTGCTTCAGGTGATCTTGGATCATTCAGCCATGACAATGTTGAGGGTTGGATGTCAGAAGCATATGATGTCAATTGATGGTTGGGGATCCTCAATAGTTGAAGATTTTTTTGCTGAAAACTTTTGGAAGAACCTTGTAATGAGAAATTATTGTCTTTTTCTTTATAATTCATTGAAGTGTTGCTGTATAAGTTGTAATCCTTCAGTGATCATATGGGTGACTTTAATGCTGTGTTCCATCCAAGGATCATATTCCATAATTTTGTCTTTACTGTCTGTGAAATTTGAAAGACTTCAGCAAATTTCAGTAATGTCCAAATTTACTTCATTTTCCTCTTCCACTGTAGATGACTCGACAAGTTCTTCTAATTCCTCATTGGTTAACACTTAGCTCTTAGTAGCTCAGCATACAATTTTTCCCCCTCTTTCCTTATGTCAAGAACTTTCACCTTTTCACTTGAAGGAAGCACTTTATGACTTCTCTTTGGCATATCTGAATTGCTAGCATCATTATTTTTGCACTTGGGGCCACTGTGAGGTAAAATAACGGTTACTTGAACACGAGCACTGCGATACCCTAGTTGATCTGGTCATCAGAGTGAGTAACCAATGGCTAACGGGCAGGTAGCATATACAACATGGATAAGCTGAACGAAGGGATGATTCACATCCAGGATAGGCTGGCTTGAGATTTTATCATGCTACTCAGAATGGAAATCTAAAATTTAGGAATTGTTTATTTCTGGAATTTTCCGTTTAATATTTTTATACCTCCGTTAATGCGGATAACTGAAACCTCCGAAATCCAAGCCACAGATAAGGGGGGACTATCATACTTACTGAAGTATTATAGATACTACTTAGCTTCTATGACCATTAAATTGACAGCTTGGAATTGGAAACATCCGTTGCCTTCAAGCTTTTAAGACACTTACACATGAATATACAGTTCAGCCATAGCTGTATCCTACACTAACAATAAAATTTTAAGCGGTGTTGTGTACCTTAACGCTTACTGTTATTTCCTTCCCAGTTCTTCCACACAGCACGGTCCAAGTAGACTACATTTCCCAGAATGCCATCACGCCCTTTGACCCCAGCTAGACCAAAAAGACGCGACACCCGAGCCCCTCCGGCCGGAAGACTATAGCCTCCCGGCATGCAGCGCACCTCCCTCCGTTAGGTTTGAGTCGCGGCCGGCGCGTTGCCCATCGGGAGTTGTAGGCAGCGGCGCGTTGCCCTGACGCCGGCCGGGCCGGGCGTGGGGGCCTGTGGGAGGTGGCGCGGCCTGGCCCAGCTGCGGGGCGGAGGCGGAGGACAGGCCTGCGGCTGCAGGGAGCGGCCGGGCTGGGAGCGGGCGCCGGAGCCGAGCCGAGCCGAGCCGGAGCGGGCGGCGAAGGCCGGCGCGGCGAGCAGCAATCATGTCGGTGTTCGGGAAGCTGTTCGGGGCTGGAGGGGGTAAGGCCGGCAAGGGCGGCCCGACCCCCCAGGAGGCCATCCAGCGGCTCCGGGACACGGAGGAGATGTTAAGCAAGAAGCAGGAGTTCCTGGAGAAGAAGATCGAGCAGGAACTGACGGCCGCTAAGAAGCACGGCACCAAAAACAAGCGCGGTGAGTCGGCCCGGCCCCTCAGACTCCCCAGAGACTCCCCTCAGGCTTCCTGGGCCCGGACTCCACCTCGACACACTCGCCTCGGGGTCTGCTCCGACCCTGGAACTGTCCCCCGTCAGACTTCTTTCCGGGTTCGGGACCTCTCCCCGTCTGACTCCCTTCTGTGTCTTCCTGAGCCCTGAACTCTTCCACCATCAGAGTCTTATCCTACCCCTCTCCCCACTCTGCCAGGCTCCTTCGGACCCTGATCTTACAGCACTTTCGTCCGCCCTCACTCCATTCCTTTTTCTTCCGCCTTCTCCTCCTCCCTTTGGCCTCACCCACCTTCCCAGCTACTGCTGGTGCCTCTTTCTTGGCTCATTTCTGCTCCCCATCCTAACATTTATTTGCTTCCTGGTTCTTTCTGTCCCTGCTCTCTCCCAACTCCTCTGTGGAATCTGGGAGCTGCCCCAGCCTCTCCTCATCTCCCTGACTCAATTCTCCTTGAAAAGCCTCCTTGGTAGAGAGAATAAGGGACTGGTTCCTGTTCTGTTTATTTGCTGAGTGAACTTGAGCAAGTTGCTTTTCTTTTGAGGCCTCAGTTTCCCCATCCGTCAGCCCCCCCCCCCACGTTTGGCCTCCATGAGGCTAAAGGTGTCTTCTAGTTCTGTGATTCACTTTTTATTGCCTCATAGCCTGGCCTTATCTGAGTTTCCCATGGCGCAAGCCTTTGCCCCGTGACTCACCGCTTCCCCGTCCCTCTGAACCATAAATATGGACTCCATGCCTTCATTCGCCCGACTCCTCCCTAGTCCCCACTACCCCCGGGTGTTAAATCTTGAGACACGCTTAGTTTACTTCCTGTTGTGTAGCTTTCTGGGTGTTCTCAGTGCCTTTTTTTTTTTTTTAAGTAAGATGAATGTGAAAATGCTTTAATAACTGTAAAGTAATTTAGATATGTTTGATTTTTCTTGTTATGGCAATGAAACAGTGAATCATACAGTGACAACCCTTCCCCAGAGAGGAGTCATACAAACAAGTATTTAACTCAGAAGTCTGCCAGTGACTAGCTGTGTGACCTTGAGATAGTTAAATTACGCTCCCCAAAGGAAGATCATGAATTTACAGTGCCCAGCACATAGTGGGATCTAAATAGAGGTTTTCTTCATTCTGACAGAAAAACAAAGTAGCCTATCCTGAGGGTGCTTCTCTGTTGATGCTCAACAACTATTCTGGAAATTATATGAGTGCCTACTGCTTGCACTGTATTCTTAGGTGTGAACAAATTACAGCCTCCACCCTAATAGAGGAGAAGACAAATAGGAAAATAAATGAAGAAAATATTGTCTGGTGGTGGTGATAAGTACTGAAGAAAAAAAAGATGATTTGATAGAGAGTGATGGGATGGGAGGGGTGCCACTCTAAATAGAATGGTCAGGGAAGGCTTCTTTGAAAAGGTAAAGTTTGAACTGAGCCTTGAGAAAGAACCAGCTCTGTAAAAGTCTGGGGCAGGAGCCTTACAAACAGGGAGAAGAGCACCAGAAAAGGCCTAGAGGTTGGCAGGTTTTAAGAAACAGAAAGTATACTCCTCTGTCTGGAATGTAGTGATTTAAGGGAGAGTCGTATGAAATAAGGGACAGGGGGTTAGACTCTGAAACTTCTCGGTAAAGAGTTTGGATTTTATTTCAAGTGGATAGAAAGCTGTTGGAGGGTGCTATGCTGGAGTGTGTCATAATCACTGATAGGTTTTTGAAAACATCATCTGGCTACTTTTTGGAGAGTGGGGTAAGGATGAGGGTGGGAGCAAGAATAACAGTGAGGAGGCAGTTGCAGTTGTCCATTTGTGGCCTGCAATTCTAGCTGTAGCTCTGGAGATGGAGAGCAGAGTTATATTTTGCTGTCTCTAGCTTTTTTCTCTGATGACTCTCCCTCAGTCGGAATCCTCTGTTCATGGTAATTAGAGTCAGTTTTTACCTGCCTGCATTCAGGAATGCAGGAGGAGGGTTCAGTTTACCTCATCTCCCATCTGAAAGGGCAGTTCTGTGATCTTGGTTTGGAACTAGCTTACTTTCTGCAGTTTTATGGGTGATTTAATTGGCTTTCAAGAGGCTTGGAGAGAGGCTTACCAGCAGATGGTGGAGTACCAATCTCAGTTGTAATATATATATATATATATATATATATATATTTTTTTTTTTTTTTTTTGAGACAGAGTCTCGCTTTGTTGCCCAGGCTAGAGTGAGTGCTGTGGCGTCAGCCTAGCTCACAGCAACCTCAAACTCCTGGGCTCAAGCGATCCTCCTGCCTCAGCCTCCCGAGTAGCTGGGACTACAGGCATGCACCACCATGCCTGGCTAATTTTTTCTATATATATTAGTTGGCCAATTAATTTCTTTTTATTTATAGTAGAGACGGGGTCTCGCTCTTGCTCAGGCTGGTTTCGAACTCCTGACCTTGAGCAATCCGCCCGCCTTGGCCTCCCCAGAGTGCTAGGATTACAGGCATGAGCCACCACGCCCCGCCTCAGTTGTAATATTTTGCTAAAAGTAGTCTGTCTTCCTGAGTTTGCCTGAGAGGACAGGAGCTACTATAACTTGCTTTTCTTTTTAGCATCCTCTGGGAGAAAGGTCTTATCTGCTTGCCAGGCTAATGTGGTGAGGTGTTAACACCACCACATACCATTTAGTTTACTTGTTGACTGCCACTGTGCTGGGACCTTGAGAATCAGAGAATGAGAGATGAAAATATACTGTGTCTGCCTTCCAGGAACTCAGAATGTGTATATGTGAGAAAGGGAAATAATTTTAACAGTGCAGAAACATGAGTATGTACGTGGGCTGAGGCTGCAGAGCAGGAGGTGCGTGTCCGGAGGGGAAGAGGTGAGGAAGGAGAATGTGAGGTGGGTCAGCAAGGAGTTTGGTGTGTTTGGGGATTACTGAGAGTGTCTCCACTGGAGTCTGTGGGGTGGGACAGGAGATAAGTAACACTGGAGAGTGGCCTATATATAGTCTTTGGATCTTGACATGAAGGTGGTGAGTAGCCATTGTCCATCTTTTAAAACAGAGAGTCATATTCACTTGGAATTTTGAAAGAGTGTTCTAGCAGCAGCTTAAAGGAAGGAGTGTAGACTGACCAGGAAGGGACTAAAGCAGGAATCCAGTAAGAGATAAGGATAGAGTCTTAGAGATCTGGATTTGAGCTGTAGCTTCATCACTTACTAGCTATGTGCCTAGGTTAGGTTACTCTGCACTTCAGATTCTTCTACAAATCATGGTGCTAGTGTCTGCCTTACAGGATTAAAATATATTGTGCACACAAAGCTCTTAGCACAGTGCCATGTGGTAAGTGATCAATAAATGCTTGCCATTATCATTACTATAAGGAGACTTGTAATTATTCAGGTGGGAACAAAGAGCCTAGAGTAGAAGCATGGAAAACTGGAAGAGAAATAATACATGTCAGAGACTTTTCTGAAGGAGAATTGAAAGACACTTGGTGATTTATTAGAATTGTGGGAGTGTGCAGGATGAAGGAGAGAGAGAAGTTGAGGGTGATTTTTAAGTTTATAGCTAGGGCAACTGGGTGGATGGTGATGCCATTATCCAAGTTGGGAAACACAGGAGGAGGAGCAATACTTCTTAATTGTATAGTCTTTTTAAGTTTGTAAAACTTCTTTTTCTCGTGTGAGTCTCACAGCAGCCACTGAGACTTGAGCTCCTTGAGGCAGGATGTGATGGTCACATTCACCGCTGTGTCTCCAGTGCCTAGCACAGTGCCTGGGACATGGTTAATGCTTAGTAAGTATTTATTAAATGAATAAAAACAGTTGTGTAGGTATGTTCCATTTTTCCTGTTGTACAGAGAAGAGGGAAATGAGGCCCAAGAGGGGATGTAATTCAACTCAGACTCCCATTCTGATGGCTATGGGCATCTTGTAAATAGAATTGTTTACTCCCTTGATGGCCAAAGGTGTCATCATAACCATCGTCGTTGCTCAGCTCATTAAACACTCACTTGTGCAAGGTGTGTACTGAGTGGGAGAAAGAGAAGTGAGACAGAACCAGGCCCTGCCCTATGGTGTGTGTAGCCAAGTGTGGATGCTGTCATTGTGACATACACATTGGAAAGATGATAAATTGCCCTTTGAAACAAACCTTGGAAGCTTGGATAGATTATTTGCAACGTGTAGATGTGTCCCAGGCGGTAGTTTCAGTTAGGGACCTAGAGCAAACTTTGGATTGCATATTTTTTCCAATTTTTTTTTTCCTTTCCTATAGTCACATATTCGTTCTCAAGCATTTGGCAGGTTCTTACTGTGTCCTAGGCCCCTTGCTTGGTGCTGGGAGTACAGAGATGAACTAGACACTGCCATCCAGGGGACTTAAATATTGTCACTTATAAAATAATATTAATGGTATGTGGCTAAGATAATATATGAAAGAGTGTGGCACATTGTAGATACTGAGTAAGTATACTTTTCTTTCCTTTCAGATAAAGTTATCATTGATCAGACTTCTTTGGTTTAATTGTCAAAATGGAAAAATTCTTTCACTTAGAGCTATAAATGGAAACCAGGTTTGAAGTCTAGGTAAACTGACAAAAATCACCCAAACTTAGGTCTTTATTTTGGTACCATTCTAAACTGTGCCCTGTTGGTTTTCGCCCTAGGAAAGATGATCAAAAGGAAATACCTACTCTGGGTGGTTCAGAGTTCCCTTTTTTCCTGTTTTTGGGGTTTTTTTTTTTTTGAGACAGTCTCACTCTATCGCCCTAGGTGGAGTGCATTGGTGTCATCATAGCTCACTGCAGCCCAAATTCCTGGGCTCAAGTGATCCTCTTGCCTCAGCCTCCTGAGTAGCTGGGAGTACAGGTGAATGCCACGATGTCCAGCTAATTTTTCTTTTTTTGTAGAGACAGGTCTCACTCTTGCCCAGGCTGGTCTCAAACTCCTGAGCTCAAGCAATCCTCTGGCCTCTACTTCCCAGAGTGCTAGAATTATAGGGATGAGCCACCATGCCCAG